TTTTGCTGCAAAAACGAGTTCTCAAAGCACTGCATGACAATCTATCAGCTGGTCACTTGGGTTTTCAGAAGACCTGCAACCACGTTAGGAGCCTTTCTTCAAGCCTGGTATTTCTACCTTGGCGCTACTTGTGTCGCTTCTTGCGCACTTTGTCAACTCCAGGAAGGGCCAACCTCAGCTCCTACTGGCCTATTACAGGCCGTCGCATGTCCCGAAACACCTTCTGCCGTTGTTGGAATAGACCTAATCGGACCACTTCCCGTAACGCCAGCAGGCAAACGCTGGATGCTCACAGCTTTCAACCACCTCACACAATAGACAAAGACCGCTCCTTTATGGCCTAAATTTGCCTCTAACGTTACCACCTTCTTTGTAGAAGCCATTGTGTTGCATCAAAGTGCACCTCGCATGTTGATCAGCGACCGGGGCAAAGCATTTTTGTCCGCAGCTCTTGAGAAAATTATCAAAGTTTGTGTCACAGTTCATAAGATATCAGCTTACCACCCGCAAATAGATGGTCTGACAGAGCGACTTCACCAATTTCTAACCGACATGATATTCATGTACATCAGAGAAAACCACGATAACTGGAACAAAACCTTGCAGTTCGTGAAGCTTGCGTACAACACCGCTGTTCAACAAATTAGCGGATATTCATCTTTCTTTCTCGTATACAGTCATGCGCCGAAAGTCAACATCGACGCCTCTTTCTTCAATGAAACGACGAAAACCTCCACAACTACACCAGAACCTTTCGTTTCGATGCTCGCTCACACACGCAAACGTGCTCAGCTCCACACGGAGGCCAGTAAACAAGACCGCAAGCAACGCTATGACAGGTTTTGTCGAGACGTCGCCCTTCGTCCTCGAGATTGAGTATTACTTTGAACGCCTGCTCGTACTCCCGGATTGTGTGAGAAGTTTCAATCACGATACCTCGGAACTTCCATTATTCGAGAATGAACATCTCCTTTCAGCTACTTTGTCAATCCAGTAGAAGGTTCCGCGGACCGTCGTTACCCTGCTTCTGAGATAGTTCACGTTTCATTTCTTAAACCCTTCATTCGCCGTAATTTTCCCACCTAAGTCTTGGCCTGGCCGGCCACTGAAGTGTGCCGAGAAAATAAGCGTGAACATTATTCATGCGTTCTATCTACTCATATGTGCATACTCAATATCAATATTCCTGTTTGGGTTGTGGGGCACATACTCGAGACAAAAAAAGATTTTCGAGGGTCTTGGACGTTGTCTAACATTATTCGTTTTGTTACGGCTCCAGCAATATCAAATCCTTTTTAAAACATACGTCACGACTTGAATACACAAAAAGTGACTCGCGCAATTGTTTATAACACATGTGGTCCCTACAATACTAGGGCGCAAGTTATCTGACGCAGTCATTGAAATATTACCTACCTTCTTTACTAAATAAATTGGAAAAGAAAACATTTATTCAAATTGCTTTGACGCATGAATTTGAGGATACTTTTGTAAATGCGAGTGGAGGAATAAACAAAACAGTTCTTACATTTTCGCATTTTTTAAATGTATTTTCCCCTCAGTGTTTCAATAAACAGTGTTTTACACCATTGTACAACACAGCCATGTTTATACTAGTGATTTTTAGGAGTTTGCTCTTTTTGATTGGGGGTTGTCTCTCGTTGTTGCGCTGGCGTGTACGCTAGTTCTCATTGCTTCCGCTAGAGACGCAGCTGTCCTCTGTTGCAAGAGCGCTCACTAGATGGTGCCCCGCTGATTGGACGACGCTCGCACAACGCAGCACTGCAGGGTGGGAGGCAGCTCTGTCCAGCACGGATGTGAAGACCCGAGAGGCCCTCGTGAGATGAGCGAAGACAGCAGCCCGTGTCAATGGGATCCCGGACTAAGGAGCCCACTCACCAACATTCCATCCATTGTCGCAAATAAATGTTTTATACTCTCTCTCTCACCGCTCTGGGCTCGTGCTCTGGTTCAGTAGGAGACCGTTAGGTGGCCGCGCCTATATAAAGTGCTCGCTCTTGGCGAGCTTCCTTTCCCTTTCGCCGGACATAACTCAGTGCACTTGAATGCGGCTACCCTCTATGAACACCGCAGAAGCCAAGGTGGCGGGGCGGAGGGCTCGCACTGCTGCTGCAGCGCGGGCTCGCTGTCACGACCCTTATCGAACTTCCCACTACATCCTATATTTCAAGATTCTCTGGCTTTATACCTTACTGATCACAAAGTCATTATACTAAGAGGAAAATGTCCCTCCGAGCTTGCGTGATCCGTAAATAAGGTATTGAACAAAATGTATATACTGCATCACCTTGTATACATCTGTATATAGTACATTTATATGTAATTAATAAACACTATGTATACAACGTGTATATACAATCACACCACAACTCTCAGGTCTTGTCTTTATATGATGATGATGGAGATTATGTACAGAGAATTAACGGTTTACCGGATTTATCCTATGGAGCAAGCTCCTTTACATCATCCGCTTTGTGGATATGCGGGAATTTTTTTAGTGTTGTAACTTCCCCTGTTTTTTATGTATAGCAATTCATTTTGACATTTCCTTGCACTAAATGCATTAGGTTTATATTCTTATAATTATGATGTATTTGTAAGTGTTATTCAATATGTCCCGCTTTTCTCAATTTCATTAAAAGAGTATATCTTTTTCTCTGGACATATGTACTGAAAACGTGTGTGTATGCTAGTTGTGGTGTTACTGCTGTCATGTGAAGGCCTCCAGGCACACTCAGGCTGTATGATGCAGATGTTCGCCTGACTGACGCCCAACAATTTTATTGTAAAATAAAAACTTTTGTGATTCTGAGTAGTAAAATTAGATAATATCAGTAGGTGCAGCCCTGATTTCGAAAAGGAGCGATATAGAAGCATGAGGATTGGTTCACGTGCAAACGCTACGGTGGCCGACGTGATCTTGTGTGTTTCAACAAGCCTAGCATGCCTATTCACTTCATCCATAAAGATCGAGTGACAATTCGTGTGCTAAAGTAGGAGGAGAAACAATGTGTTGCGATGGAGCTGATATTCAGCGACAAGATTTCACTGTTGGTGAGCTGGCCAGAATAATTTTGGCCCTAGTGACTGCCTCTGCGCACTCCGAGACCTTCACTTGTGTTTCCGGTTGGGACCCGAGCAACATTGCCTTGTATTGCCGAGGGGTAGTGACATGCACAGTCTGAAGATAATACTGTTCCCTCGTTCAAGGGCAGCTTCAGAGGATACGGTAAAGACTGGCGTCCTCTCTTTGGCAGTTAACATCTGGGCTAAAGTGAGATGCTAATAGGTGAGTAAATAAAGGGGGTTCAGAAGGAATTCGTTAGTGGTCAGCGTCACACTTTTTAAGTATACCACCATTCCCTATGTTTCGCAATGATTCCACCTGAACATTCTGTTGGCTATTTCGACCAGAAATTCCAGTTTAAAACAAGTGAATAATTCCGGGGCCCACCAACACTAGAGTGGTGGGTTTTCGTGGCGGATATACGTCAGTAATTACCTATGACAGTCGAATCCTCAACCTCATAGTCCGCGGGGGTAGGAGCCAAGCGCTCTTGTTTGTGACTTCACAAACACTTTCTGTGTATTTCTCACACCTACCCTTCAAAGCAACGGTTCACAGTAACGGCATCAAACCTGTTAAACTTAGTCTAGCTTCTGCACCATAAGCGCAGGCCCATTTTACAAGGTGGCACATAATGAAATCACAAAGTTTTCGTGACAAGCCAGGCGCTAACTGTGGCACCACCTTTCTCACTGATGTGGGGCGACTCGAGAGATTCCAGTTCATATTTTAAAAACTGTGAGGCGTAGTCTTCCGCACAGTGCCCCTTTAATTGGAAAAGAAAAGGGGGCTGGGGTTATCGTGACACCCCCCTCCCTCTATTACGTCAAAGGATGCCGCCGAATTTGCGTCCCCCTGTTAAGAGAATAGATGGGGGGCGGTGGCAGCACTAAACCCTGCCCTGAAGCATTTTAAAGGCCCGAGAAGTCGTCATCGCTTGAAGTACTGCCAACAAAAACACGTATAAAAAGAAAAAAAAGGCAAGAAGCAACGTATAATCGCAGAGAAAAAAATGAAGAAAATAGACATAATTAGAAACAAAAAGTGACGGCAACAGTTTCGCATTCTGCGACGCGTACGGCTTTCGTTGTGGTGCACGTGAGCACTTTGTTGAGTCAGCGACAGACATGAGCACTATTTACGGACGCCTGAGCATCAGTGTAATATAATGCTCTCAAATAAATATCATCCACATGCACATTATTACTTTTGTGTTCGTAATGAGCGTTAAAAGAGGTTTTGGGTTGCACGAAAAGGATGTGGCACTATTTTATATTCGTCAATACAGTATGTACAACTTTTCAGCGCGCTGGGCCACGCACTCGTGTGGCGTAGCTCGTACTGAGTGCGTGAGTATGTGTCAGACAAAAATCTGTGTGCATGTAAATACGCTATACACGGCGACTTTTCTAGGCATTGGAGCCAAGGCCACAAAGCGAAATCGTGTGCATCCTACCACCAGCGAATGTAGTTCCACAACAGTGCCCTTACTTTCACCATGAAATATAAAATTTCCTCCCTTATTTTATACGTGCTGCCATGTGAGACAGGACGCAGCTCCCATCATTGAGATAGTAGGGACTTCATGTTTTTAAAAACTTGATATTTTGGCGCCTTTTTACGTGTACCTCATACGCCAACCGGCGTCTGCGTCCACATGAAACACTGATTGCCTTACATTGCCTTACAAGACGCGCGGCATTTCGGACTATATCACGTAGGGGTACATGTGCAGAAGCTCCGCCCCCCCTTGTTTTCTTTTCAGTAACGTTGTCGCCGACTACAGTCATGACGCGCAAAGCGCATGCTCAGTGTTCAACACAGTGTCACACTCTACCGTTCCTTCCTTTAACTCTAGATCGAACAGGATTAGACCAGCATTCCATGCGAACAATTCGTTCCCTTCTTCATTTGACAAAAGGCATGCGTATGCATTGGGGCTTGGCGAGGCGATGTCAGTAAGGGACGTCAAAACTGCTCAGTCGCAACATCAGGCATGGCCAACGATACAAACAGCGCAAACACAGCTCTTGATCTTCACAACCCCGACGTAGCACCGAAGACGAGCAGCCCAGTTTCTACAGATTCTTCATCGGACCTTCTACAGAGTGATGAAGAAACGCCGATAATTGTAGAAGTTCTCGCGGATTCAGACAACAGCTGCCATGGAGTGCCGGCAATTGAAAAGGCAAGAACGACTGAAGTGTTCAGGTGAGCTTCCAATGAAAACGTTTTTCTTCAATAATGCCTCACATGGCTAAAAAAAGCGTGCCATATATATTAATTAGCTGGCTTTCATGCTTAGCACGTTGAAGAAGGTGTTGGGGCATGTTTTCTAAAAGACGTATGCAATCCCGTGGAATTGGTTGATTGATGTGTGTGTGGGATTTAACGCCCCAAAACCACCATATGGTTATGAGAGACGCCGTAGTGTAGGGCTCCGGAAATTTCGACCACCTGTGGTTCTTTGACGTGGACCCAAATCTGAGCACATGGGCCTACAACATTTTCGCCTCCACTGGAAATGCAGCCACCGCCGCCGCCGAGATTTGATCCCGCGACCCGCGGGTGAGCAGCCGAGTACCTCAGCCACTAGACCACCGAGGCGAGGCAGGCGATCCCGCTTAGAATGACTCTTACACCAGAAAAGAGCGACTTTGTCTCAGTGGTTGAAGGGTCCGTATTCTCCGGCGTATTAAATAAATAATTCAGGGATGTGTTCCAGCTGGAAAGATCAGAGTCGATGAGCCTATTGGGTGATTCGTCTTCCGTGTGAAGCTCTAGGCAAAGCCTTCTTCGGCAGCAGTGTGCTTCGCCAGGCTTGTAGATAAATAAAAAAATAATTAAGGACGCCTTTGGACACGATGATGTAGAGAGGCCAGAGCCGTATCTGTCGTCTCCGTCCTTTATGAAACGCTGCTTTATTAACTGGGCCAATATTTCACTGCATTTGCACTTCGTGCACGTCATGGCCAAGCTGTTCTCAGCGTGGCCCTGAATGAGGGTTGACTCTGTTCGCTAAATTGCACCAGTATAACTACTTTTCCACACAATTTTGCGAAAAAGTTTGGCTTGGATCTATGGCTACAATTAAACTTTGATTTGGTGCATTTATATGTACTTTTATATGTACATATAGCCCCTTTTATATGTATTCGCCGGTACATTAAACAGTTCTTAATCGTTCCTGTCAGTTTGCACTATGCACGCGCGCATCGTGACACACCAGCAGACTGATGCGCTTCGAGATACCTTTGCGCAATGCTTAGCACGTCTGAATACGCGGCATGGGTACAACGCGTGTAGTTTCGCAAAGTCATGGTCAGCAAGCTGCTTTTCCAGCCCGCCATCCACGACTATCCTACGTGCACGTGTCTGCGAGGATTTTTGACATCCAGTGTGTGCTCTCGTCTGAACTTGACAAAAACGGAGATACGATGCAAAATAAACCTGATGCCTTCACGCTTAACTTGATTCTAAAATATCAAGCTAGGCTTACGTCAAGTAAACTCTACTGACCCAATTTTGTCGGCAGCTTCAAGAAAACGTTTTCTCGACGTGTGATGTACCTACTGATCTCTAGGCTGAAATTGTTTTATTCTTTAAGTGGCGGGATCTCTATCTTTTACAGCAGGGCTGTCATGGTCGAGCTTTGTCATGTGTGGCTGATAAAAAAATGATCATTGTAAACGAGCACGCGCACGTTGACTACCGAAGCATTTTGCACAAATGGTTAACAAAACAAACTGAAACGTGTTTACCACCTCTGCGTTGTCACAGCCCTGCGCAGATATATCACGTTGAAGTTGTTTTTTTAATAAGCCCGTGCTATAATTTTTTTATAGTTTGCTCTTTTAAATGCTACTTATCCGCGGCTTGAAGACGAACCAACAGGGGAAAATGTGGTATTTTTAGACCCACTGCTTATTAAAGTGGTATTTGTTCGTAATTTATAAAGACTCTACTCATAATGCCACCCATGTTTCATTTGGCTAAAACTTTGGCGTAATAATAAATGGCAGGGTACAGTAACAACTTTTGGTTTCAGTTCTCGCTGCTAAGGTGGTCTTAATACCGTGACCCAGTTGAATTTCTAACGGAAAAAGGTAGAACGTGGGTACTTGTTTGAGTACACTGCTACTGAAGCGAATCGCTACAACGAAAGCAAGCCCCGCTCACTGAGTACCGAGACATCGCTGTAAGTGGAGCTAATAATGGGGCGCCAAATGTTACGATAAATTGGACTCGGGAATCTCCGATTCCCATTGAAACAAAGCGGTGCCAGATCTTTATTCGAGTCACGGAAGGCGTGTCCCAGTGGACCGTGCAGCCGCTCGCCAAAGAAATTGGGGCCCTGGAATAACAAACACATCGTTATGTTTTATATTGCAAAGAGACCAGACGCCGGAGTCACGTGTTAAGACCTGGGAGACAGTCCGAGCTAGAGCGTAGAGCTGTTTAAAAAATTACAGCATATCCCCGGAGTGAATGATGATGAATGGGACGAAGCTTCGGAGTGTTTTATTGGTAAACCATGAGCTGTCTTTCGATCCATCCATCTGTCGGTCCGCACCTGCTGAGTGAGTCGTAGAACTAGGCGGTCACGTAACAAGAGAGGCATGCATGTACAGACCTACGGCTTAAGGAGCTTCGCCCGTGAAAAAAGCCCCGCCGCGTTGGTCTAGTGGCTAGGGTACCCGGCTGCTGACTTGGTGGTCGCGGGATCAAACCCTGGTTGCAGTGGCTGCATTTCTGAGGAAGGCGGAAATCTTGTAGGCCCATGTGCTCAGATTTGGGTGCTCGTTAAAGAACCCTAGTTGGTCAAAATTCGCGGAGTCCTCCACTACGGCGTCGCTCACAATCATATGGTGGTTTTGGGACGTTAAACCCCACAAATCAATCAACCCATAAAAAAGAACGGCCGAACGTAGTCAGTGCACACAAACTTTGACCGGTCGAACCTGACGTGCATATCCAGGATGTTCTAGAGCAATGGAACACGACCAGTCTAATGTATCATAAGGCGATATTTCGCAGGGACAGGCGCACGCGCAAAACACATGCGTTGTTGCTCCGAAATGATACTTATTGTGAAATAGTGCAGTACTTGTGAATCCCCAGTTTGCTCAAGACGCGTGTCTACTGAGCGTGAAAAAAGCTGTGCGTGTTTGAGCGTTACGTTTTCAGAAAAAGAGCGATGCCCTTACATGAAACGGGAACTTACACATGCATATTTTTTCAACAATCTACGTCTGTTTCATTGGACGAACTCAAGCAGACAATATAATTTTCTTCGAGAGCATTGACTTGCTTTGTTTATGCCAAAGACTTGGGTGAATTCATAATTTGTATACATCGTAGTGAAGACGTGACGCGGCCTTTTGAACTTAGTTGTGCTGCATCGCACGCCCCGTCTGGGGCTGCAGTGTCTGGGCACAAGTGGATTATCGTCGGCGTCGATCATCTCACGCTTTATGCACAGGTTGCTGCTTTTGCTCACAGCAACAGTCAAAAGTGCGAAGTTTTTCCCTTCGGGGGTAAGGCGAAGGTTCGTCGCAGCGGCCCTCATCCCTATCATGTCAATGCAAAGCCCTCAGTTCGTGCCCCCCTTTCGGCCCTCTATATTGTCACGGGGTCGTGACGTGGCCAAAAACAGGAGACTTCGTGTTGGGATTTAACTGTTTATTTGGGCGAACCTGTGCCCAGTAAACGGAAAGTCCAATTACAGCAGTAGTCTTGCACAGATAGCAGTCTCGGACTGATAGCGGCGAACGGAGCGCCGGCCTTCGATCAACAACTGACAACGGCTAAGCGCGTCGGCATTTATACCCTTGCTGTCGTGTCGAATGTTCTAGCGTTATCGCTGGCGGTGGCGTAGGTTCCAGAACAATCTGTACCGTTCGCACAGTGGGCGTGATCTTATCGAAATGATCTACTACAGTGCGGAACCTTCTCGAAAACTGCAGGCGCGGTTTGCGCTGAGAATCGTGTGGTGTTTTGGGACGATAACAAAAACTTGGGAAATGGAACGTGGCATTGCCCCCCTCTGAAAAAAGGCATCGTCCCGATGCTTTAACTAAAGATGAAGGTACAATAATAATGCAAGAAAGTACAATGAATAAATTACGATACAAAAATAATACAAAAAAACACTTTCAGTTTGCTAATGTGCATGAAACGGCTTGAGGCGCGCGACATGTACGACTTCAGGTCGCGATCGGCGTCGTTGAGAGTTCGTGATGCCGTCGGTGACAACCTCGTAATCAAGTGGGCCGAGACGTCGAACCACCCTGTACGGTCCGAAGTACCGTCGCAGAAGCTTTTCACATAATCCACGTCGGCGTATCGGCGTCCACACCCAAACACGTTCACTGGGCTGGTATTCCACGAAGCGTCGTCGCAGGTTGTAATGGTGGCTGTCGGTCGTCTGTTGATTCTTGATACGGAGACGCGCAAGTTGTCGGGCTTCTTCGGCGCGTTGAAGGTACTCGCTCACATCGAGGTTTTCTCCGCCGGTGACGTTGGGTAACATGGCATCGAGCGTCGTTGCTGGGCTCCTTCCAGAAACCAATTTGTATGGAGATATCTGCGTCGTCTCCTGCACCGCCGTGTTGTATGCGAAGGTCACATACGGAAGAATGGCGTCCCACGTCTTGTGTTCGACATCGACGTACATTGACAGCATGTCGGCGATCGTCTTGTTAAGCCGCTCGGTGAGGCCGTTGGTCAGTGGGTGGTACGCTGTCGTCCGGTGGTGGTTTGTTTGGCTGTATGCCAAGATCGCTTGAGTTAAGTCGGCAGTGAATGCCGTTCCTCTGTCGGTGATAAGGACCTCCGGGGCGCCGTGACGTAGGACAATATTTTCGACAAAGAACTTAGCTACCTCGGATGCACTGCCTTTTGGCAGGACTTTTGTCTCGGCGTAGCGGGTGAGGTAGTCGGTAGCTACCACGATCCACTTGTTTCCGAAAGCCGACGTCGGGAACGGCCCCAGTAGGTCCATACCAATCTGCTGGAAAGGTCGGCAAGGTGGATCAATTGGCTGCAGAAGTCCCGCTGACCTTGTCGGCGGTGTCTTGCGTCGCTGACAGTCCCGGCATGTCCTCACATAACGACTGACATCGGCGATAAGACGTGGCCAGTAGTACCTTTCTTGTATCCTCGCGAGCGTGCGAGAAACACCGAGGTGCCCTGCCGTCGATTGTCGTGTA